TTTCGCGACAGAAGCTCTCTGCACCGGCCACAGCGCTCAGTTGATGGGGTATTGGATGGATAATTGTTGCCCGTTCTGTGGACCTCCAGACGCCATTCGGTCTGCCCGCACGAGGTTGTCGTCGCCCTGAGATCTGAGCTGGTCGTTCCGTCGGCAATCGCCGCGGCCCTTGGAGCTAAGGACGCTGAAGACACCAGCGAGGTCTTCGTTCTTATATCTGGGGTTTCTCGCCATCCCGCCGACCGTTTTCCCAGTCCCTGTTCCGAGTCGGATACTGAATGGTTCGTGCTTTGTGCGCTACGGTCAAGATGTTTTGCACCCCGATGGGCACGTCCTTGGGGAGGAGCTTTGGGGCTCCCTGCCGGCGCCCGACGCTGAGGCCTCGCGGTGAATGCTCTAGCACTTCATTGCGGGTGGCGGATGTTTTGCGGAGGGACACTCCATTGCCCGGTAGCCCCGACTCGAATAGGAGGGGTCCGATGTCGTTTGGATCACAGCGGGCCCGCGAATTGGTTTAGCGTTGAGAAGGAAGACCCCTATCACTCATGTTACCATTGCCGCCATGCTTCTTACCTTTCACCACTGCCACCGGCAATTATAATTCCTCGTCCTCCTCCTCCTCTTCCTCCTCCCCCTCCTCCTCCTCCTCCTCCTCCTCCTCCTCCTCCTCCTCCTCCTCCTCCTCCTCGTCGGCGTAGGAGCTCAGGCAAGTTAAGCCCCGACGGGTGGAAGATTGACATTCACCCCTCACACGACTTGCGGACTCCTGACAGCCACACAGGCTGTTCTGCCTGGGCCAGGGGGGGAGAAGGCGGAACAACAAATCATAACAATCGTTGCAGCCCCTCCGATACCGCACCTTTTTGCGATCCGTTCTAGAGTGACTTGGTCGTGATCCGGTAATGGACATTCATCGTGCCGCATCTTTCCTATTTTCGATGGAAGATTTGAGTGCGATCTTTGAAGAATCGACGAGCCAAAGACGCAGAGAACGGATCCGCCGCACCCACGCCCGGAAATGCCAGCTTGCCAGGATTACAAAATGTGAACAGTTGGTTGGACACGCCCCGGGACCCTCTGGTTGTTGGACAACTTCGGCAAACAAACAAAAAACAAAAAAAAGAGAGAGAGCGCAGGAGCCACCGCCACAGGGCGCGCAGATGGGTGCCGACATCGAGGTGGACAACAGCGACGGCAAGAGGGGCGGGCAGACGGCAGCGGGGGAATATGCAGAGCTTGCTCGGTTCCCCCTTGCCCCCGCGCCCCGCGGGGCCCAGGGGGAAGAGCTGCCAGGGGAGTTTGCAGAGCCGCCTCGGCCCCCCTCAGCGCCGGCGCCCGCTCGGGCCCAGGGGCAGCCTGCCCCTGCGGCAAGCGAATCCAATTTTTTCACACAGCTGTTCCACCAAAGAGAAGAACAACTGCGCACACGGAATTCGCTTGGCCCTCTTTCGCATTCGTCTGTACGTTGGCAAGCAAAGTTGGACGACAAAAGTCAGCGGGAAGTTGGAGGCCCCGAGGTTCGGAAGCAGCCCGTGGGCGCCGGCGAAGAACTTCGAAAACCCACGCGCAAACCAAAGTGCGTGGAAATGTTGCCCCGGGAGATCGAATCACAACTGAATCAATTCGGGGGCGGAAAAGAGGGGGCGATGACTAGGGGGGGGTGGATATCATGGCGGGGGCCATGATATTTCCCCAGATTGGATAGCGCCTCTTCTTATTTCATTACGTCCCTGGCCCCCCCGCTGGGCCGCGCACGCGCCGACGGTCACGATTTGCACCCCCCCCTCTTGGACGCCCCCCTCTTTGCCGCTCCCGATCAATGGGGCCCGATCGGCCCCATTTTGCACTCGTTCGTTCGCCGGGGGATGAAGTTGGATGAACCTCGAAACCCGCGGGCTCCCGCGGCGAGACGGACGAGATGGAGGTCTGGAAAGATGGAGGCTGCCACGAGAGATTGAATCGTTTGTTCGCCGGAGAGCGAAGGAGGTCTGGGAAGATGGATTCCTCGAGGTTCAGAGGCGTTCGATTGGCTTCGATGGCGAACTTCGAAAACCCATGCTCCTCAATGGCGACCCTGAGATCACAGCGCTTCTGGGGTTCCTCCGGTCCACGGCGACCCGCGAAGGAATCATCATGGGCGTCTTGCAAACATTGAAGAAGGAAGGGGGGATGTCCATTGGATAATTTGCTGAACTAGTTACAGTTTTTGCTTCACAAAGGGACTGCGCAGGCGCGGAGGAGGCGGGGAAGGAGTGGGAAACTGGGGCAAAGGGGCCGGCAACATTTCCCTGCGGGTTTTCCTTCTGACCTCTCAACGGTGAAAAACAGCCATTGCAGGGTTTGTCATCGAAGAGCGGACGCGGGAGCGCAACGGACGAACTTTGGACGGCATCTATGACATTGCGCGGAACAGGATTGGCCATTATTTTTTGGCGGGTGAATTTCGGCACCAATTGGCCAACAGCTGCGCAATCCGTACTTTGCCAGAAGTGGGGCGCGCTCGTTTGGAACGGGAAAGCATCGGAGCGTTTGTCTGCCAGGTTGGGTTGGGAGACACATGCGCTGAAATTATGAGCGCGTTTGGCGTGGGGGAAAGCATCTGTCTTGGCGCACGGGGCGCCGATCGCACTAGCGAGGGCATATCGGAGTGCATGGTGCCCCGTTCTCTTCTCTACCTCGGTCCTCTTCTCCGTGGGATACAGAGAGGAATGTGGCTCGCGAGTGAGACGGGGGCTCAGGGAACCCTCCTTCTTGCGCAGGCCCGCTCGCGCGAGCCATTGGCAACGCAACGCCAGCGGCGCCGCGCCCCTTGGTTTCATCGGGGAGCTACTGACTGGTAATGCAGGGCCCCCTGCGAGCGGGCCGCCCGCTCGCCCGTGGTAGAGGAAGGGGGGTGAGGGCTTGGGGCGAGGAGGGCAGCGTGCACGCCTCTGCGCAGGCTTCGGCAGTTCCTTCGATAAGATGTCGAAGGGCTGCCGAGTCCTTGCTGCATAACACTCACGCAGGGGCATTTGGCATACGCTCTACACTGCACCGTAGCGGGCGCATTGACGCTGACCCACCCTCCTCCTCCTCCTCCTCCTTTTCCTCCTCCTCCTCCTCTTCCTCCTCCTTTGTCCCCTCCTCCTTTGCCCCCTCCTCCTTTGCCCCCTCCTCTGCCCCCTCCTCTGCCCTTTCCGCACCCCCGCTGGGACCTCGGCGGCGGCAGGCCGCTGCCCCCGCGCCCACGGCGGCGCCGGAGGACAGCGCAGGCGCCGCCGAAGCTGCCGCCGAAGCGGTCGCCGTCTTCGTCGCTCAGGGGCAACGTTAGGGGGGAGAGGTTCAGGGTGGGGGAGAGTCTCGGGTTCGAGGATCTAGGTTTTCGGGCGTTTGCATGGGTTCCTGGCGGTTTTCCCGCGTCGGGATGCTCTCCAGCAGCTGCGCCTCGCCGAGAGCGTTCCAGGGGTGCCTGGACTGTCCCGAGCGGCTGCCGGAGAGCCGGGCGCTGGACCGAACGCCACAGGGCCCCGCCAGGGCGGGACATGCTCAGAAGGGGAGGGACGCATCGACCCCCAATCGCCCATTGATCGGTGATAGGGACCCGACTGCCCAGTTCGCCCAGAAACGAGCGGGTTCGCTATCGGCGGCGTCTCGTCGATCCATCGGCGATATATTGCCGGTTTCAGGCTTATGATTCCCCCCTTGATCCAATCCTCCCAGAACGTTCCCTCCTCAGTCGCATCCTCCCCCGCATTTTTCGGAGGAGGGCTGGCTCCCGGGGAACGCTGAAGGGGTGGGCCTTCACAGAAGACTCAGAAGGCCTTTGTACTTCTGGACTTCTGGGTTTTCTCCAAGGACACATAAGGATTTCTCAACAGGTCGGAGGGTTTCCTCCGAAACCCCGCCGCCCTGTGAAAAGGCCGGCCCCCTCCGGCCTTCGCTTTTAGGCGCGTCGCCGATCTCGGAGGAGGGCCAGCGGGTCGAGACAATGGTGGTCCATGGTGGTCCTTGTCGGCGTTTTCCGTCCCTTCCCGGAGCTCCTGGGGGTTTCTCGTCGCCATGGCTGGGTCCGCCCCGAAGAGCGGGTCAGCACGGGCTCCGGGAGGGATCCAGGGACTAATTCTGTTCGTTTCCCGGGGTGCACGTCCGGACTGCGGAGAGCCCGGGCGTTTGGGATCTCTTCGGATGTTTTGGGGGAATCTTCTTGGGGACTTCTTCTCGGGGGGCCTGCTGGGGGGCCTCTCTGGGGGGGCCTGTTGGCGGCAGTTTTTCGATTCCCCTGGCGCCACGGGCGCTTCCAGGGTGGAAGGGTGGGCGGCCGCCTCCTTTTCCGTTCTCGGTCCACGGCACGCTCCTGCGAATGAGGTGCTTCCGCGCCCCGGCTTCTTGTGCGCACGCGTCTGAGCTTTGCGACGCCGCCGACCAGAAGCCAGAACAAGGCAACGCCGAGTCCAAATCCCGACGAGAGAGCCTTGCAACGGCGCGCCAGTGGTATTCCCTTGCACGAGCCTCTTGGTGGTTTCTTGGGGTCGTCAGGGGGCCTCTTGGGGGTCCTTGGAGGACTCCTGGGGGTCCCTGGGGGCCCCTTGGAGGCCTCTTTGGGGCCGCGGGGCTCGCGGGGGGCTCTTGCGCCATCTGGCCCCTTCGGAGGCCGTATTGGGGGTCTCTCGGGGCCGCCTTGGGGCTCTCGTGGAGCCGTCTTGTGCCATCTTGGGGGCCTCTTGGCCCGTCTTAGGGGCTGTCTTGGGCCACCTTGGGGCCCTCTCTGGCCGTCTTAGGGGCCTCTTGGGCCGTCTTGGAGCAATTTTGGAGGCTCATTGGGCTGTCATGGCCTCCTGAGAGTCGAAAAAACATGGCAGTGCTAAAATCGCCCAAACCAAACGAAAAGTAATGTTTTTGGGCTTCTGGAGGCGCTCTTGAGGCCGTCTTCAGGCGCCCTGGGCTTTAGGCCTTCTGGGGCCGTCTTGTGGGCCTCTTGGTCCCTCTTGGGACCATTTTGGGCTGTCTTGGGGCCGCCTTTGCCCGTCTTGGGGCCACTTTGAGCCGTCTAGAGGCCTTCTAACATTTTGGTACGTTCTCGACCCCCAGATTGGAGATCGTCTGATTTGGTCCGACGATGTGGCGAGACTCCAGTGGCGATTACGGAGGGAGACATTATAATGTCACACCATTCAAGATGTAGCAACTATGCAATTTGCAATCATTGGACACATTGGGCACGTTGCATTAAGGCGTTCGCCGAAAAACGCTGCCGCTCAGCACGTCACCTCCACACGTGGATTTGTTCTGCTTACGAAACACATCCGACCCCTTGGGGGACTGGCGGTTGTTGCGAATTGCTGCTGGTGGCCTTTGGGCGCCTTTCGGGTGCTTCTTGGAACTCTTTTGATTATCGAAGACGCCTACGGCGAA